AGATCAGAATATCCGCAATATAAAGACTCACAGTTATGCTAGACACCAACGTATAGATACTCGTCACCATGCCTATACGTCGTACTCGACAATTAGCACGTAGCAAATAAGACTCAACTCCTAATCCCTAAAGCTAAGGTTAGACCGAACACTTACCTCGAAACTTTGAACACCACTCAAGCCTCAATTTTAGCTTTACCCCTTGATTCCACCACCAATCCACTCGAATCTAGTCACAAGTTACTTAATTACATCAATAAGTGCTAAATGAATCAACCCTAATGCATGCAAATGAGTTTTCCCAAAGTTTTACCCAAAAAGTCAAAAATCACCCCCGGGCACACATGGTCGAAACCCGAGGTTCAGACCAAAACCCGATTACCCATTTCCCCACGAATCCAAATGTATAATTTGTTTTGAAATCGGACCTCAAACCTGCAACTTCCTGAATCTGCAACTTTTACGAGGCTAAAACCATTCCGAAACACTCCCGAGCCCTCGGGGCTCCTAACCAAACACATGCACTAACTCAACAACATCATACGAACTTATCCGTGCGATCAAATCGTCAAACTAACCTAAAAACAATGAATCAAACCTCAAAATCAAGAGTTTTTCCAAAAACTTCATCAAGTTCAAATTTAAGATTTCAAGTCCGAAACACGTCAAACGACGTCCGATTTTAACCAAACTTTACAGAAACCTCTTAAATCACATATAGTACCTGTACCGAGCGCCGGAACCAAAATACGGGCCCGATACCAACATGTTCTAATCAATTTTTATTTTAATTATCCTTGACAATTTCAGAAAAACATTTTTACTCGAAAATTCATTTCTCAGGCTTGGGACCTCGGAATTCGATTCCGGGCATAGCCCAAGTCCTATATTTTCCTACAGACCCTCCGAGACTGTCAAATCACGGGTCCGAGTCCGTTTACCCAAAATATTGACCGAAGTCAAATTTATTCATTTTAACATCAAAACTTAGCATTTTTCACAAAATTTCATATTTAAGCTTTCCGGCTACACGCCCGGACTGCGCACGCAAATTGAAGCGACTCTAAATGAGGTTTTCAAGGCCTCGGAAGCACATAATGGGTAAGAAAATAGGTGATGACCCTTTGGGTCGTCACAAGAAAACTACCAATCAAACTATAATATAAAGATAAAAAACTTTACTAAAAGTGCAAACTATTAACATTTACCATAATTTTTGAAATAGCTACTCCTATAGTTGGTTTGGTTCGGGTTTTTTTCGGTTTTTCTGTTTAAAACCAAAACCAAACCAAACCAGATCGGTTTTTAAAATTCAAAACCAAAACCAAACCAAACCAAAAAGTATCGATTTTTTTGGTCGGTTTGGTTTGGTTTTCGGTTTGGTTCGATTTTTCGGATTTTTAGTAACATCCCTACTCGCAGGTGCGTTCCTCTTCTTGCACCTGCGATTTCTGGAGCCTGGACCAACTTCCGCTTTTGCGGTCACCTAGCCGCTTCTGCGGCGCCGCACCTGCGGTCACACACACGTAGGTGACTAGGTGCGGTTATGACAGGTTCATCAATCAGATTTTTGCCTAAGTCCAAAATCAATTTCCGTTAAGCACCCGAAACTCACCCGAGACCCCCGGGACCTCAACTAAACCTGTCAACCAATCCTAAAACATCATATGAACTTGTTCAAACCTTCGGAACACTCAAAATAACATCAAAACACCAATTTAACATCAGATTCAAGCCTATGAACCCCAAAACTCTCAAATTATGCTTTCGATCAAAAAGTCTATCAACCTTCGTCCGAATGACCTGAAATTTTGCGCACACATCACATTCGACACTGCAGAGCTACTCCAACTTCCGGAATTTCATTCCGACCCTTAGGTCAAAATCTCACTATCGAACCGGAAACTCCAAAAGTTCAGCTTTCGGCATTTCAAGCCTAAATAAGCTATGGACCTCCAAAACACAATCCGAACACGCCCCTAAGCCCGAAATCACCCAACGGAGCTAACGGAACCGACAGAATTCCATTCCGAGGTCGTCTTCACACTGCTCCGATTACGGTCCAAATTCTAAAGCTTAAGCTCTCTTTTAGGGACTAAGTGTCCCAAAACTCTCCGAAACTCCAAATAAATCATCCCGGCAACTCACAATAGCAGAAACAAATATCGAAAAAATAATTAATAGGAAATCGGGGTGTTAATTCTTAAAACGACCGGCGGATCGTTACAGTTGCTCTTAATTATTGGTTCATATTCTCACCAAAAAGAATTCGAACACTTGTGAGATTCTTGGAGAATCCAAAGGTTTGCTTATAATCTTGTTTGCTTGCACGGATTGTAGTGCGGTTTTGTCCATTCGTCAAAGTTTCAATCCTCTGGTTTTCTATATCATTTTCGCTGCGTCTTGTACTGTTGACAATAAGAATTCTTGCTAAATTATGAATTTATTCTCAACAACTTTATTCAATTTTAAGGTACCAACTTCTTTTTAGCAAAATGTTATTGTTTCGGGTTAGAGTACAACGAATTTAACTTATACCCAAATAATAACATGCATATTGAGTGTACTATATCTCATTTTTATGATACGGGTTTTCTTCAAATCTTATGGGGAACGTCTTAAAAAAAGAAGAAGAGGAATTTGAGTCAATGTTCATCACCCTCACATTTTCAGACAAAAAGAAAAAAAAAGAAGCAGAAGAGCTTCAATTAGTAGTTAATTAAGTTAAAAGGTATTATCATTTTTAGCCCGGGCCAAAAAATATTTATATTTGGTAGCCGAAAAAGTATATAAAATTTGTATAATTTTTGTATATAACATACAGAATGTATATATATACAAAATATATATTGCATTTTTTCGGCTATTATTTTGAAAGCGGCTATACAGTGTCATTTTCCCTTTATAAACTCATTTTTATTCCAAAAAGTATAGGGAAACTTACACAAATATCCCAAATAAATCTCAATTTACCAACCTCTAGCCATTAGTCATAGACTTACCAAAACTAGCCATCATAAATTAAAAAACTAAATAATAGGGTTCTTTCTATCAAAAAATCACATGCAAAATTTACCTTCCATATTTTTAAGCGTGATTAACAACATTACATACAAGACGGAAAGGAAATTTTATGGACGGCGTAGCAAATAAGGTGATGAAATACAAAAATCTATGCAATATTCCAAAAATCTAAACAAAAAAGGAACTTTTTCAATGGGTATAGTTGAAATTCATTNTATATATACAACATTCTAAAAATCTAAGCAAAAAAGGAAATTTTCAATGGGTATAGTTGAAATTCATTGAAAATATATAGATAAATCAATATACAAAATTTGAGGAAGATTGAAGGTGATTTGGACTGGTTTTGTATCAAAATTCGTAATTAAATCGAGTTCAAAAAAGTCTTCTGCGACACATGTATCACGCATGTATCTCACTTACATGTATACATGAATATACACGTGATACACAATTGATACGAATATGATACATATGTGTTACACAAATGATACACAGTGTGATACACATATTATTATTTTTCATGTTCAGGTTTTACTTCGAATTTTCAATTCAAACCACCTCAAAACTTCACCAAATCATCCCAAAACTGAGATTCCAGCTCCTTAAGTTGTGCCCAATCTATTCTAATAACACCCACTCAAAACAAAGTAAAAATTTGATATTTTTTTGCTACAAATAGCTAATTGACTAATTTAGCTAATATTAATAATATTTTATAAATTGGTCATTTTTTGTAATGAGCTACTTATAAATGGACATAGTTAGTAATTTCCCAAAATTATAACCATGTTACTACTATTTGAAAAATCAAATAATTTTTTCTTTAACTAAAATATTGTGATATTTTATATTTTTACTGTAAAAACTTTTGATTTATAGTACTTTCATACTAACCTCTTGATATGTAAATGCATTTAAGAATATTTCAATTTTTAAATATTCTTTTTTTCAACTTAACCTTTTTGTTTTTCACCAAAGCTTAACCTCGATTTTCTTTCTTTTTTTGGTCTTCAACCAATTACTTCCTCCATAGGCTTTTACTAGTCCAGTATTTCAAAAATAGATTTTTACTTTTATTTATCGCTTTTAACATATCAAGAGAATACAATTAAACCCACAAAGAAAGAAAGAGAGAACTCAAAGAGCAACTGTAGCTTAAAAGCGGATATATCGCTTTCTGTTTCCGCTCTATCTGCCAAGGGGAAATCCCGGTAAAAGGAACCCCGAGACATGCAACTAATTCAATAGGACCAGTTATGAACCCAAGAACGGATATGAGTGCTCATACTCAAGGACCTGAAGCTCTCACAGTGTCAAGGCAAAGAATAACTCTTATTGAAAGAAGAATGTTTACGATCAGAGCTAAACAAGTGGGAGGGAATGAAATAGCAATAGTTGCTACTTCTGTCTGCGGCTATCTTCTCGTATTTATTAAGCCATTCAAAGAAATTTTTTCTTTCTAAAGGCAAGGTTAAGCCATCCTGTTACGCCCACAATATTAATTATTCATTTCAAATTATTTTTTCAAAAATTTATTTAAAATATGTATCAATTAATATGGGTATCATGGTAAGTTATATATTTCATTTATTATTTTTAAGCGATGTGCAAAGTTCATAGTGGATAAGTAAAAGTGAACGGAGAGGGCATTTTCCAAATGCCTTTTAAGAAATTGAAATTAAAACTTACTCCCTCTGTTTACTTTTACTTGACACGTTTTGAATTTTCGCGCCCCTTAAGAAATAATAAAGAAGTGCATAATTTACTATGATATCCATATTAATTGATGCATATTTTATACGATATAAGAAAATAATTTGAAATAAGTAATAAATAGTGTGGGTATAATAAATTTTTTTTGTATACATAAAGTAACAAGTAAAAATAAAAATATATTTTTAGATACATTTCAAGTAAAAGAAGTAAAAAAAGAGGATTATGGATCCACCTAGAAATATATTTCCACTTTTGGCGCCTTTTGTGTTTTTGGAATGAAATATCCAATGGCCTCGGGCTTATAAAACGCCACTGCTTTTATTTCTCTTTTGCTGCGCCTTCTTCTTCTCATCATCAGATCAGATTCTTATGGCCTTTTTTCACCTTTGTTTTCTACTTTTCGCTGTCTAAAACTGAAACTTGCCGCAGTTATAGGATCCAATTCCCACTTTTATCTCTGAAAATCTCACACATCACCAACTACAACTTCTAACTGTCATCAAATCTTGCAAATCCCCTCAGTCTCCAATTTTCTTCATCATTTTTTCCTCTTAACCAAACATGAACACAGTTCCATTCCCATATTCTTTTTTAACAATTTCGCCAAATCCTCAATTATGTACTAAAAATCCAGTCTTTTTCCCACCCACCAAGCCAAATCCTCAATTATGTATTAAAAGTCCAATCTTTTTCACTTCTTCCGCAAAAAGGTGTTACTCAAAATCAAGAACTAAAAGACGGAGCCTTTTCTCAGTTTCTTGCTTGATTATGGACAAAGAAGCACCTGTAGAAGAGGGGTTAAGTGTTGTTGACAAAGTTCAGATTTTAGCTTTGGAATTTAGGTCCTTATCAGAACCAATTGATAGAGTGAAAAGATTATTACACTATGCAAGTATTCTCCCTCCATTAAGCGAGTCAGCTAAGGTTCAAGAAAACAGAGTCATGGGTTGTACAACTCAGGTTTGGTTAGAGGTTAGGATGGATAAAAGGGGTTCAATGAGGTTTAGAGTAGATAGTGATTCAGAGATCACAAAAGGGTTTTGTTCTTGCTTGATATGGTTGCTTGATGGAGCAGAACCAGAGGAGATTTTAAGTGTTACAGCAGAGGATTTGGCTGATATGAATGTGGGGTTACCTAGAAAAGGACGTTCGAGGGTAAATACTTGGCATAATGTGTTGTTTAGTATGCAGAATAGGACTCAAGATTGTGTTCAGGAGAGGAATAGAGCAGCTTTGTCTTTGGAAGATTTTCATTCTTTAGTTATTAAGCCTCATGGAAGTTACCTGGAATCTGAGGTTGGTTGTTAAGTAGCATTTGTTTATTCTTTTTATTGGTTTTGTTTATGTTTATTTTGTGAGTGTAGTACACAATGATTTAGGGAAGATCCAAAGGGATCTTTGGATTCTGCTTTTAAAGAAATGACTTTGTATCTTTAATCATGGATGGCATGATATCATACTTTGTTTTTTGTTGTTGTTAGAATTGTATTGTACTAAAGTTTCTTTCTTATTCAAGATGCTATATGTGCTAAAATTGTACTTATAGTGTGGTAAGACCATCAACCACAACTTTCCAGGAAATTGTGACAAATAAAAAATTAAAAAAGGAAAAGCACCTATTAGTTCTTTAATCCATTATTCAAGAGAAAGCAGATATTAATTAATGCTAAGAAGTCACTAGTATCATGGTTTGGGTCTGAACAGTTGACCTGAAGTCAGAGGCGGATTCAAAATTTAAACTTAATTAGTTCAACCTTTAAGATTTTTAGCACTGAGTATATTCACTTTTTAAATTATAGGTTTAAAATTTATATTTGTTGAAATATTAGTGGTTTTGTATATGCATATCTATGTCCAGTGTTGAAAATCAGTGGAACTCATTGAAATAGAGTGCATCGGCTTCTGCTCATGAAGTAGATTGCTCAAACATCTACATATTTGTACAAGTAAAGGCAGGTTCCATGCTGAAGCTTTCCAGTTTTTCAATTGACACTTGTTACGTCGTTAGAAATAGAGCTACTCTGGATTTGAGACATTCTATAAAGATAGGAAACCATCTTATGAACTGCAGAATAGAAAGTTTTTCAGTTCCAAATGTCTAGTTCATTGGGACTTTCGTTGTCTTTGGGCAGTATTTGTTATATAGCATATGTATCAACTACTCTGGTATATTGGTCTATGATGTGATGACCTCACTGTTTATTAGATAACTGTGTATATGTAAAGTTCCCAGTTATAAATCCTTTGGATTTTTTACAGTCATGTAGAATGATTTCAAATTAGGATTCCAGACTGTTAATAACCTCATCATAGAAAAATGTGTTTTGGCTTAAAATGTTGCAGGGTTTGCCTTTAAGTAATAACTTTTTTGCTGCATATTTCCTTTTTTTTTAGTAGTTGAAAATAAGAAAAGAAATGTCTTTTTCTCTGATGTGTTTCAACTTTCAAGTTAAGCATATCTCATTATCCCCATTTGTCTGATATTTATAAGCGTTATTAAATTAGGTGTGAAAGCATATGTGATCTCTAACAGACCCTTTGCTCATAAATGAATTTATGCCTGTCTCTGAATGGTTTTTATCTTTAACTTATTGCATATTATCTTGTTGCTTGCTGCCTAAATGCAGTCTTGAAGTCAAATAATTGTTAGCCTAGCTTTGCACTGTTGTTGGTTGAATCTGCTTAAGTTTCAAACATCATCATCTTCTGTTAATATAAGGCTTTTGTTCTCCGATCCACGTGGCAATTTCCTTCCCATTGCTATTCAGAGGTAGAAATCTTTCTCATATCTTTTCTTTTTAGTATGCTGCAACTACTGATAACGCTACATGTCATTTTCTATAATTCAAACCTGTTATTCTGTTCTTTTACTAACATGTTATTCTGTTCTTTTACTCTGAATGTGCAGTTTGGTCATTGGTGTATGTCTGAATTCACGAGGGCAATAAGGCAGAATGATTACAGAGATGGATGTACAAGAAAGTAGTCGACGATATTTACGGGACTGCTGACAGAAACTCTCTCTTTTGCTTACTATTGTAATAAATTTCGGGGTGGCTATTACTATAGCATAATATTTGCACTCTTTCAAGGTATTTGATTGAAGATGAGCAATGAACTTTTCCGCTTCAGAGGCCCGACTAAGGGCAAACGCTTAGGTCTATTATAGGATTTTTTTTCATTCTAAGGGACATCGAACCTGAGACCTCTATTAGATCAATTAAAGGCAGATAAATTCTATGCATTCCATCACAACCATTGGTGATGGGCAAAATAAAAGAAGAGTGAAATCAGGTGGATACACTTGCTGAAAATGCTGTGTTTCTTTTTCATTTCCTTACTATTTTTTTGACAAAACAAACAAGGGTTAATTCCTTTCCAGAAAAGAAAAGCGTAGGAAAACTACTTCCAACTTTGCCGTGAAATGGTCTCAAAGAGTTTTCTAGCGAGAGCAAGAGTATTTTTTTTCTTGACATTTATGAAAGAACGGTAAGTGCAAGGTTTCTAGTGTTAGGACTTTTTATTTTTTCTGAAGTGCCACAATTATTCGGTGAATTTTAACTTCTAAGAGTGGCAATTTCACTTTTAGCCGCTCGGCTCAAACTTTTGACAACCTCTAGCCCACATATTTATTATGCAATTTGAAGGTAAAAATAGCATGTTGCGCCTTATTAGGTCGCCCCATTTAACATATATTCATATTTTTTAAATTATTTAACCTATACCCTAATTTTGACAACTTCAGACCCGCCGTTGCCTCCTCTTCTTCTCCTGCGACCTATGCGCTCCTTTCTTCCTCCTCTTCTTTTCCTTTTCTTTTTCTTTTCTCTCTCAAACACATGAGACTCTGTGTAAGTATTATTGATTGGATATAAAGGATTCTGTGACTCAATTATTGAATGCCATAACAGGAAGATGGACTCCATCTACAACTGATTATGCAACACGCCGTTTCCCTGGCTTTGGTGTAATCACCAACATCATCAATGGTGGACTTGTGATGACCTCATCATTTGTTTTATAAATAAATTCTGCGTTCCGAGGCCTTAAAAAACCTCTTTCAGCATCACCTCGATTTGCGTGCGCAGTCCGGGAGCATAGCCGGAAAGCCATTATGTGAAAATTTGTGAAAAATGATAAATTTTAACTTTAAAATAAATTTAAGTTGACTTCGGTCAACATTTTAGATAAACGTACCTGGACCAGTGATTTGACGGTCCCGAAGGGTCCGTAGGAAAATATGGGACTTGAGCGTATGCCCGGAATCGAATTCCGAGGTCCCAAGCCCGAGAAATAAATTTTTGAAGAAAATTATTTTCTGGAATACTTATGAGTTTTTGAAAATGAAATGTGTTTATAATTTGATGGTATCGGACCCGTATTCTGGTTCTGGAGTCCGGTACAGGTCTTATATGTGGTTTAAGTCGAGTCTGTGAAATTTGGTAAGAAACGGACTAGAAATGACGTGAATCGGACCGTATTTGAGAAAATTGGAAAATTTGAAGTTCTTGAGTGATTTCATGATTTTGGTGCTAAATTCATAGTTGTTGATGTTATTTTGGCAATTTGATCGCACGAGTAAGTCCGTAGGGTATTTTTGAGGCAGTGTACATGTTTAGTTTGGAGCCCCGAGGGCTCGGGGTGAGTTTCGGATAGGTTTCGGAAGGCTTTTGAACTTAGAAAAAGTTGCAAGTTTTCAATTTCTGGTGTTCTGGTGTGTTGTTCTTCGCGTTTGCGGAAGGACTCTCGCGAACGTGAAGGGTTAGTTAAGCTGAAGGAAATCTCCGTCTACGCGAACGCGAGACACAGGACGCGAACGCGAAGCTTTGGGGGTGTTTCCCTTCGCGAACGCGGACCTGCTATCGCGAACACGAAGGCCTTTGGGCCTGGGCAGGGGGAAAGGGATTTTTCTCCACGCGAACGCGGCCACCCGACCGCGAACGCGAAGGCTCAGGGGGCTGAAGCTCCGCGAACGCGAGCCTGTGATCACGAACGCGATGGCCAATTGGGCCTGACCCATCGCGAACGCGACAGACCCATCGCGAACGCGATGAAGGTTTGTCCAGTGATTTTTAAACAGTAACAGAAACGGGATTTAACCCAAAACTCATAACTTCTTCTTCCAAACTCCAAATTGGGCGATTTTTGAAAGAGAACTTCACCACAAATCCGTAGATATGTAATCTTAGACTCATTTTCTTCAATTTTCATTAACATCTATTAGATTTATATGCCTAAATCATGTTCTTAAGGGTAACAAATTAGGGATTTGGATAGAGTTAGGGCTTTTTGTATAATTGGAATTTAGACCTCGTTTTGGGGTCGGATTTCAAAACTAATTACATATTCGAGCTAGTGGGTGAATGGGTGATCGAGTTTTGGTCTGAACCTCGTGTTTTGACCAAGCGGGCCCGAGGAGGTCGATTTTTGACTTTTTGGGAAGAATGATAGGGAATCTATAATAAAGCATTGGAATCAAATTGTTTAGCGTTTATTGATATTATTAAGCCGATTATGTCTAAATACAATTGATTTGGAGCCAAATTCAAAAGGAAAAGTGGTGTTTGAGGTTTGAGTTGGTCGTGGAAGTTCGAGGTAAGTGTTTGGTCTAACCTTAGCTTGAGGGATTAGGAGTTGTGCCCTATTTGCTACGTGTTACTTGTTGAGTATGACATATAGACATGGTGATGAGTATCTATACGTTGGTGTCAAGCATGACTGTGAGTCTTAAATTAAAATTGTTGTGTTCTTAACAAATACTACGAATGCCTAAGTTGTTGATTCTCTGTGTTGAGCACGGATTATGATTATTCTCGTGGAAATTACTTATGATTGAGTATTACTGCTAGTAGAGGAAGTTAGATATTGGAACAAGTTTGGTTATAGCTGATTTTCCCTTGCCAGGATTTACTTATATTGTCGATTCCCTTGCCGGGATAGTGTTGTTTCTTTATTGATCCCTTTCCGAGACTCCCTTTGTGATTGGTATTGAACTGTATATGCGGATCGGGTTGCAAGCCGCAACAATATTATATTTTGATCGGGTTGCACGCTGCAACAATATTATGTTTGGATTGAGTTGCACGCCGCAACAATAATATGGTTGGATCGGGTTGCACGTCGCAATAGTATTTTTATGATTTGGATCGGGTTGCGTGCCGCAATAATAGTTAATACAAGTGCTCATTGGTTGGTTACGAGTTCCTTATTCTTTTGCTGTGAATTCTAAATTGTTCTTTATGTTTTCTCTTAAATTACTGTTGGTAAATGATATTCCCCCGCAACATGTCCCCCTCCCATCTTTACTTGTTTATTTCTGTTTTATTTTCCGTTGTATATTATATAACTGCACACGTTTATTTGGTAGTCTGGTCCTAGCCTCATCACTACTTCACCGGGGTTAGACCAGGCATTTACCAGCACATGGGGTCGGTTGTGCTGATACTAGAGTGTCACCCGGGCAGGCTTGCTTCCTGTAGCACCAGCCATCTCTCAGGCTGGAGGAGGAGCCCAAACTCCTGCTATTTGCACTCCGGAGCAGATGGCTCCCCGGTTTCAGACTCCAGCAGCTCAGACAGTTAGAGCAGTTTAGCCGGGTATGGTAGCTCAGACCGGTGATGGAGCAGTTATGTTTGCTGATGCTTTGTGGAGATTGGACAGGTTCACCAAGGTCTTCAGTACTACTTTCAGCGGTGCATCTTCTGAGGATCCCTAAGATTATCTAGACAGCTGTCATGAGGTTCTCAGGAACATGGGGTAGTGGAGACCAATGGGGTTGACTTTGCTACCTTCCACTTGTCTGGATCCGCCAAGACTTGGTGGAGAGATTATTATTTGGCTAGACCAGCCGGATCACCAACTTTGACTTGGGAACAGTTTACTCAGCTATTTCTGGAGAAGTTTCTCTCTATCACTCAAAAAGAGATCTATCGGAGGCAGTTTGAGCATCTCCAGCAAGGTTCTATGACCGTTACTCAATGTGAGACCAAATTCATCGACTTGGCCCGTCATGCTCTTATCATACTTCCCACCGAGAGAGAGAGAGAGAGGGTGAGGAGGTTCATTGATGGACTTATTCAGCCGATTCGACTTCAAATGGCTAAGGAGACAGGGAGTGAGATTTCTTTTCAGGAGGCAGCCAATACGGCCAAGAAAGTTGAGATGGTTATGTCGCAGGGGGTGGTCAAGGGTCGGACAAGAGGCCTCGTCATTCAGGCAGGTTCAGTGGCGCCTCGTCTGAAGGTAGGGATTCATATGGTAGAGGCCATCCTCCTAGGCCTTTTCAGTCAGCACTTCAGGTTTCTCACGGCGCATCGGGTGGCCATGGTTCTCATATGCAGTATTCTGATCAATAGCCCTACAGTGCACCACCAGCTCTTATCAGTTCACCGCCACTCCAGAGTTTTCGGGGTGGTCATTTAGGTCGCCAAAGTCAGTCTCCGTTTCCTCAACCGTAGCACTCAGGTGGATGTTTTGAGTGCGGTGAGTATGGTCATATCCGGAGGGCTTGTCCGAGATTGGTGGGTACTCACTCACAGCAGCAGGGTTCCCGTGCTATGGTTCAGGCACCAAGTGTTCCACCGCCCGCTCCGCCAGCTAGGGGTGGGGTTATAGATGCTAGAGGTGGAGGTAGAGGTATTAGAGGTGGAGGTCAGGCAGCTAGAGGTGGAGGCCAGCAACAGACTGTCCTAGAGATGTAGTTTAGGGTGGTGGGGCTTAGCCCCGATGTTATGCTCTTCCAGCCAAGCCTGAGGTTGAGGCTTCCGATGCAGTTATCACAGGTACTATTCTAGTTTGTAGCAGAGATGCTTCAATTTTATTTGATCCAGGGTCTACATACTCCTATATGTCATCTTATTTTGTACAGTATCTGGTCATGCCTAGTGATTCCCTGAGTGCCCCTATATATATGTCTACACTGGTGGGTGATTCTATTGTGGTAGATCGAGTCCATCATTCGTGTATATTTTTGATTGACAGTCTTGAGATTTGTGTAGATTTGTTACTTTTGGACATGGTTGATTTTGATGTCATATTGGGGATAGATTGGTTATCACCTTACCACGCTATCTTGGACTGTCATGCCAAGACTATGACCATAGCCTTACCGGGTCTACC